GTGAATTGTTTCAGCTCTGCGCTGGAAGAAGTTATTTTCCGCACTGTCCCAGCAAGACGTCCCCCGCAGAAGCCTCCATGGTCGAACCCACGCCTACGTAAACTAAAACGTCAGCGCTCCGCCGCACTCCGAAGGTACTGCAGCTCTCGCTTACCGTTCTACAAGCAACAGTTTAATTTCGCAAGTCGTCGCTATCGAAACTACAACCACTTCCTCTATAATCGGCACGTGAGACGCACGGAAGCGAACCTTCGGTCGAACCCGAAAGGTTTTTGGTCGTTTGTAAATTCAAAACGGAAAGAATCCGGGCTGCCTTGTTCCATGTTCCTCGGAGTTGATACGGCCTGCAGCGAAAGTGAAAAATGCAGCTTGTTTGCTCGTCAATCCAAACAAGTCTTCCACGATTTTTCCGCTTCACCGACACAGGTGTTTGTCGCAACCTCCGGGATGCCACGTGATGTTTTTGGTTTTGACATACCTCACATCACTGAAGACATGGTGATAGCCGCAACACGCAAAATGAAGAACTCATTCGCCGCTGGTCCTGACGGAATTCCCTCGTCAGTTTTAAAACGATGTGCAGTCAACCTCTGCCTTCCACTTGCGCGACTTTTTAATTTCTCGGCACAGCAAAGTGAATTCCCCTCCCGCTGGAAGCTTTCCTATCTGTTTCCAATTCACAAAAAAGGAGACAAACGGAATGTCGCTCATTATCGTGGGATTTCCTCCATGTGCGCCTGCTCTAAACTTTTCGAGATTATTGTAAATGATGCTCTGTTTATGTGCTGTAAAAATTATATCGATACGGACCAACATGGTTTTTACCCCAAGCAATCGGTTTCCACGAACCTGGTGCAGTTTACCTCTGACTGTCTGCGAAGCTTGGATGCTGGATGGCAAGTTGATGCTGCATACATGGACTTAAAAGCCGCTTTTGACAGGGTGGATCATGAAATCCTGCTTGCTAAGTTGGAGATACTAGGTGTCTCGTCTAAGGCTGTGAAATGGTTCAGATTGTACTTAGTGAATCGCTCTGTACGAGTCAAGATTGGCGCGACGGAATCAAATGTTTTCTCAAACAACTCGGGAGTCCCGCAAGGCAGCAACCTGGGACCTCTGCTGTTTTCGATCTTTTTAAACGACAGCGCTCTGTTGTTACCATCTGAATGTCGTCTTTTCTACGCAGATGACGCCAAAATCTACAAAATTATCAAAAGCCTCTCGGACTGTTGGGATCTCCAGCATATGCTATGTATTTTCGCTGACTGGTTCACGAGAAATTTGATGGGCCTGAGCATCGAAAAATGCAACGTCATCTCCTGTCACCGTAAAAACGAACCAATTATGCTTGACTATGTGCTCTTTGGACGTTGCATTGCCCGTGTAGAACAAATAAAGGATCTCGGTGTTACTCTGGACTGCGGGCTCACCTTCAAAATCCATTATAACGACATCATTTCCCGAGCCAATCGCCAACTGGGTTTTATTTTCAAAATTACCGTTGAGTTCAGGGACCCGTTATGCCTCAGATTACTTTACTGCTCACTTGTGCGGTCTATATTAGAATCAAGTGCAGTTGTATGGTGCCCTTTCCAAGTCACTTGGATCGCTAGAATCGAATCTGTTCAACGAAAGTTTGTGAGATATGCTCTTCGTTTCTTGAACTGGCGTGACTCATCGAACCTGCCACCGTACGAGGAGCGTTGCCGTCTTCTGGGCATCGAACCGCTAGTGGTGCGACGGATGGTCGCTCAAGCTATGTTTGCTGGAAAGCTTCTCACGGGTGACATTGACTGTCCAACGTTGCTGGCCCAGCTAAATATGTATGCTCCTGAGAGACCTCTCGTCAACGCGAATTTCTGTTTTGGAGCCACGAGGCAGAAATTATACGCAGAATGAGCCAATTCGTGCAATCAGCCGACAATTTAACTACTTTTATTGCGAATTTGACAGCAAATGTGTTTCGTCACCGGTTACTTGACCGTTTTCGTTTCGTTGACCATAACTATTTAGATTAAGTTTTATTCATCAAGACATTAATTGTCAGTTGAATTATTAAATAAACAAATAACAATAACAATTTTCTGGTACCAAAATACTAGTACTCTATTTTCGGTACTGATCATTTGAAAAATGACACAGTTAATTTCATCATTCGATGCATATTGTATTTTTTGAGCATTTTTACACTGTCAACTGGTAATCATTTTTTAATATTGTTTACAACGTCGTGAAAAACCAAACTTGAAACATTTTATAACCAACAAGCTTTGAATGCTTTGAAACTGACAAATTGAAAAGAAAGTATTTCACAATGCTTTTCAAACCAATAACACGGGCCCGTAATGTCAACGTCCATGGTTCGGTTTCAGTCTCCTTAATTTTATTATTTTTTGTCAACATTAATTTTTTATAAAACATATCAATGAAATTCATACCGATTTCTTGTGGATAAAATTCATAAGTGGTTCTTATGAAATGCTAACGTTTTTTTGTCTAAGTGTATGGTACGCCAAAGGGGCAAGACAACTTAGATCTATTCCCTAATATCTTTAAATTTTGTAAAAACAATTGACACCGTCTTTTACCAGAGGTTGCACAGAGTCTAAGTGCCACATACTGAACACTTAATACTAGACAATGGACAACACACAACATCCAGTTGAGCAGTAGGTAAGATCCACCGGCTTCGTGTTACTTACAATATGCCTAACATATGTAAGCGCCGAACATATGAGTGACATTTACTTATCAGCCATGCCATAACGATATAGTGGTTTTTAGAATTTCGTAAGCATTTGAAGTTTTGTTCCTTAACGCAAAATATTAGACCCGTGCTTTTTTTAATTTTGTCATTAGGGTGACCATTTCAATTTAAGAGTGGTTCAGAAAATCGATTTTTTTCATAAATGACTTGGAATATTGAGCGAAAACCCAAAACTTGATAACTTCAAAAAAATATAACTCAAAATCGAGTGTTCACTCGGCTGTCGACAGAAGCAGGCCACTCTCAATATGTGTCACGCGATCGTCTGTTTACTCGGCAGCAACCATTGTGTGGTGCTCCCCAAGTAACAATTTGGGTTTTATGAGTAAGTAACAATTTGGGTAAGAGGGTACTGTAGACCATGATTTAGACTTGTAGTATGCTATAAAACCTCAATAAAACTTGCAATGTTGCTTGGGTCCTCATTGTTCTTCATCAGTCGATGCGTCGCCGACTTTGAAAAGCAATCGTTTCGTGATGAATGTGTGAGTGCTGACCACGTTTTGCGTCCATTGCTGCAATGGAAGCGCTCTGACCCCCGTTGGCGAGTCTGCCATACAATGAAACCACTGGAAGTAGCTCCCGTTCTGGTGGAGGAGGCTTATTGGATAGCGGAAGATAATAGTGAATAAGAATCCTCGGCTCTGTTAAGTTAATTCGATTGAGCCTTATCAAATAAATTAATACACAAACAAAAATAACTCAAATTCGAAAAAAACACATCGCTGATTTTTTTAAATGTCGTGTAAAAACCCGTAAATTTTCAAGAAAAAATGTGAAACCATTCTGCACCCTTTGTCTACCATGAAAACCCTATAAAACAAATACAATCAATTTTTTTCAATACAAAACCCCCATTTTTTAATATCAATATATTTTTCCTAAAAAGTATTTTTAATTTCCTTTCATTTTTGAAAAAAAATTCGAATTTTCGACCTCCCTAACATGTACATGGTAACCATAATGATAAATTAAAATATACGGATCTAATATTTTGCAATAAGGAACAAAACTACCAATTTTTACGAAATTCTGAGAACCTCTTTATCGTTTTGCTTTGGATTAATTAATTAATTTAGCTTTATTTAGGAGGCTTTCAGCCTTAGGCTGGTTCGCCTCCGCCTTTTTTTTTTTTTTTTTTTTGCTTTGGAGTCAATTTCATTAGCCGTGTACTTTGAAAATCCATAACTCAAACCAGAAAACCATTTAACCATATAGACTGTCTTGAAATGAGCACCCATACGACCCATTTTCACTGCAAATTTGATATCAAGATAGTATTAGCATACTTTCCTCAGTGTACCTTACCAGTAGTTTATTGATGTTACTAAAAACTCCGTAAATCGGAGAATGCACAAACACGTTCTTTTGTTTTTGATGCGATGCGTTTCTTCGGTAATATTTCGCGCTGAGAAACCAAGACAATTTACCATTTATTTGTGCAGTAATGCACCAAAATCCAGACAGTTAGGCCACAATTCCAGAAACTCTTAAAAGTTAATTATCAATACTTACCATGATCAAAATAACTTGTTGTCTCAGAGAGCCTAGTCAGTAAAAGTACCCCTAGTAAAAAAATAATACCATACCCGAACAAACACCAAAATGATAGAATTATTCCACAAATGGTTTGGATGATAACCTGAACACGTCGTTAAGCAAAATAACCATTCATATTTAAATAGGGATGTTATTATCAAGCCGAAAAGGGCGGGTTCGATTCCTAAAACTACTTTCATGTGAACTTTTATTGCAGTGTAGGGAATTAAAAATAAACATATAGGGTAGATGGCTCTAATGTTGGCCTAGGGATCTAAGATTGGGCCCATCGCTAAAAATCTGCTATTTATCAATTTTATCTAGATAAACGCGTCATTGGGACGGTACTAATGGATATATTTGGTCGCTATTGAAAATTTAGTCAATTACTGAATTTATGTATGGGCCCATATTAGGGGCATTTAGGCCGACATTTCATCCATTTCCCCTATGATTTTAAACCGTCTTAGAAGTTACTTTTTCTACTGATTTTTGGTAATTAAATCCCTTTTTTCTTTAAACCATTAAATATTCTAACCATAAACTCCTATTTGAAAAACATTCGATTTACTTTATTTGTTAGCTTAGTTTGATAAACCAAAGTTGCCTAAGTAAATCCGCATTGCCCAAGGGATTCCTAGAGAATATTTTCTTTTTTGTTGTCTAAGAAATATCAAACACAAGCACTTTTTTCACATTTTATTAAGCTTTCCATAACACGGCAACAACATTTAAGTCCAAAATTATCAATTCAAATCCCTTTCGTCACCTGCCCTCAATGCTCAATTCTCATCCACCGCGATAGATTCATCCTCGTCGGATATGACGTTGAGATCGGCATCGCGAAACTTCCCGTCCTCACCGGAGCAATCCTCGTTCGATCCCACCGATCGTTGATCGTCACTCAAATTACCACTCAGCTCGTCCTCTCCGGCGTCCTTCTGCGGGGTATTCAAATCACCGTAGATCCTCGGCAAGTTCTGCATCACATAGTTGGTATTCTTGATGATGTCGTACTTGTTTTCTTTGAACTCGCTGAGAAACAGCGCCGACGGATCGGTTGGTGGATTTTCGTCACCTTCCGCCGGGAGGGGTGGCGAAGATAGGTTGATCGCGGCACTGCCTTTCAACCCTTCGCGAGGTTTCGGGACGCTGAATGCCGATCCTTGTCGATCGTTGGTACCGATCAGTTTGGAGTGTTCGTTTTTGATGCCATCCGAGTTGGGTGATGTGAGTTCCTTCTTCCGATCGTAGATGTGACCGGACACGCGGAGGTCGATGAAGAAGTGCAGCGGATCGATTCCGTATGGCGGGTAGAGCGGGGGATACCAGACTGGGGGAGGTGGTGGGAGGATCAGATCGGAAGGAGGTATAGAACCGGTTGGTGGATCGGGAATAAGGTTGGCGCTCATGGGAGGCTTCTCGTTGGGGGGTTTCGTCTCTGGCGGGGATTTATAGTTGTCATTGGTTTCTTCGTATTTTGAGGTTATGTTTCGGGAAAAAGCAGACAACTTGTTGGTTAGTTCAAGTGGCTTCTCCGGGTGTCCAGCGGCTTTCTCTTCTGGATCTTTGCTTTCCTTATGTGACTCTGGGTACAGACGATGTTGTGACCATGATCGTTTCCTCGGTCGCCGTGTTGGAAGCGACAAGGACTGGGTTTGTGCTTGGGCCTGTTGGTGATGCTGTTGCTGTTGCTGCTGCTGATGATGTAACTGTTCGGCGCTCCGCAGACTCTCATTCCGCTTATTGGCCACCAAGGATCGCAGCATTTCACTGAAGAAAAAGTTGTGCGGCCCTATTGCAGGCGAGTACAGATAGGGCGGATTGGCAGCCATCAGTTTGGTGACGAATTCCGAGTTGCGATAATCGTTGGGACCCAGCCGTTGCTTCTGCTGTGGCTGACCGGGTTGTGGCTGTTGCTGTTGCGATTGTTGGGTTTGCTGCTGCTGTGTTTGAACCTCTTCCGTCATTCTGGTGAACCTGATAGGAAATAGATGAGGAGCGAGCAAACAGATGAGCCGATTAAGTTTAATTCAATTCGGAATTGTAAATTTGATTGAAATGAGCAAAATGTGGTTTGCGTACGATATCTAGATTGAGTGCTTGAATGTTTTCAGTTAATTTAAATGCGAAATGAGTTTTGTCGTTGAGTTATGAATGAGCTGGTCGGAAACGAACTGCAATCTGCAAAAGGATGTGTGCAACGGTATGTTCGAGGGGAGAACAATTGTGGTTCCGGTTTTCGGTCCATGCGACAGCTAACGGAAGGACACCCACTCGCCGCTTCGATGGGAGAATATTTCGTGAACGGTAAAGTTTAACATATTGTTTGTGATGAAAACTGATTTCCGTTAATTTAATAGAGTTTGTTTTGCAACAAAAAATCAAATCATTTCCGAATAGGATGGATTTTATAAAACCTCGTGAATCATCTGTGCAATATGCCAAACGTTCTATTTTGCCCTCTAATGTATCATACCATCGCTGTCAATTTTTCCACATAAATATTATCTCCTGGGCTTGCTGGCCCAGCTTATGCCATTATCATACAATAATTTATCTTATTCCATTTCCAACTCCATTCAAATACGACTCATGTCAGCCCTTAGGCAAATAGAATAGACACAAAACTACAATTGAACTATCTCTCTTCTCCGTTCGAGAAAGCAAATCTTTGTCACTCAAACGGAATGGAAAACACCAACTGTCGGCAATTCCTTGGGGGTCTTTTTCTTCGGAGACACTAGTTTGAAAGGAAATGCTAAGAAAATAGTTGAATGTGCACATTCCTTCGGTGCCGTTGCCAAGAACAATGAAGACAAGAAGGGCTCCCTTCCAGAAAGCTATTATTTGCACACTCACCTCAATGTTGGCAGCAGGTACCCACCCACTCAAGCCCGATGTGTTATCTAATCGAGAAATAAATCGAATGTAAATTTGTATAGACATGTCTCCTTGCTTGGTTTGTCAGTGACACTTCACGTTTAATTTATTTGCTTGTGGTTTAAAGAGAACCTATCCTGACTCACATGAGAATAAACCTGGTTGCGAAAAAATTAAAGCTCATTAAAATCACTTTGAAGTAGCGAACAATAAAAACGGGCCAATTGCCACTTATCAGCCCCGTGTAACAACAATCGACTCAATCTGATACCACCCCCACACTACGTGAAAATCCCTACCGCACGCGATAAACATTACCGGCACGAGTCGCGCCCGTCCGTTCAATCGGTGGAGGTGGTTTGATTGTTCAAGTGAAAATAATTAACTCCAAATTAACTCTTACAACAGGCAGCCCGCCTCCCACTCGCCCTCCACAGGGGGACGATAATCGTCGCTGTGCTTTCATTGAAGTCACGGCCGCTCCTGCTTGCCTCTCAACCCAAACTGTGTTGTGATGTGATGGGGGGAGGAGGATGAGTGCTCAGCAAACAATTCAACTTTCTTGTTTTATTTTATTTTCCCAAAGTAAATAATAAAACTCGCAGATTTTCCGAGGCACAAATTAAAATTAGCATCCTGCTTATCCAAGCAGGCTTTCGTAAATGCGACAGGATGCTCCATGTAGCGCAGCAAGCCGTCGTTTCGTGACGTTGTCAGCCACGTTTTACAAAACAGCAGCCCATGACGGAACTAGGATTCACGTTCGGTGGAAAGTGGAAAGCCACAATTTCACTCCGTCGTCCTCCTTTGTGGTCGCGCTGCCTACTGTGGTGGTGGTGGAGCGCATGCCAGGCGTCGAATAATAAGGGAGCTCGAATTTCAACGACGTCGCTCGGAGGAAAAAGTAGGTGGAGAAACGAAGCCAAGTTGGAAACTCCCACTACGTGTTCTACTTTTTATTTTCGTTTCTTTTTATCCTTGCTGGTCGATTTGTTGAGTCTTGAGCTGGAGCATCTTGCTTTGCCAATGTGTCAGCTGTACCACAGTGGTGGCAAAGTATGCCTCAGCTCTTGAAAAAAAAACTTTGCGTCGGTATTTTATTGTTTACACGCTACAAACCGTTATATCTTTGAGATAATCCAAACAAGCCAAGCAAGTCTACGGCTATAAGTTTCTTTGATAAAGTTAATCCAATGTGGTCCTTTTTTATGAAAAAGAAGATTATGATCCTTTAAACTGGTAGCTGTAACATTTACTACATTGTGGTCATCGGAAGAAACAATAAGTTTTCCTCAAACAAGTCGCACTAATCAAATTCGTCATTGGGCATACTTTGATATCTGAGCTGTTCCACGCCAAATGACGGATCTATCAGACTCGATCTTTGCCAATTTGTTTGTTATGGCTAAAAATCAGCCATGTTGACTATTGGGGATTTTTCTTTAATTACCGAATTTTTGGGACGAAGGATCTTCGATTTCTATGAAACTTTGCCCATGGGTAGAGTTCATAAATATATTAACGAAAAACAATTTTTAAAAAAATTCAGGGTTGCCAATTTTTTCGGAAAACTTCAATTAAAGTTTTCAGATTTTCTCGGGCACCACCAAGTTAAAAAAAAAACATAACTTTTGAATCAAGCTTTGTTCAGTTAAAGTCAATTGTCAACAATTACTTGTAATTCTGTCAGCCTTTGATAAAAAATACAGTCGTAAACTAATTTCTCATTAATGTTTTTACCATTAAAGAAAATCGAAAAGAAAGCTGTGGTCTGTATCATAGATTTTTATCAAAAAAAATATTTTCATGTTTGCAAATATATAAGCTTTTTTTCGGTGAACATTTCAAGATGGTATCTTATACCGAAATGAACAAATGAGTTCATCATACATCATCGAATACGCGTTTGTTGTTATTCACTATTATCAAACCCAAAATTGTCAAAACCAGAAGCGATCCTCAAAAGCAAAATAATCAATTTCATTTTGGATAAAATGTTTATTTCGAGTATTGTCGAACTCAGAGTCTAAAACCTCGATATTAACATCAATTCAGCATGAGGGAATAATTTTTCATCGATCTGTGGTTAAAACAACACAACGCGTTTTACAGCGCTATATTTATGTAAAATGAAAATAATCATTTTGCAATTGATCCTCAAAATCCCCCACCAAGATGAAGACGAATATTAATATTGACATCAACACAGACGATAATAATCATCCAGCCACGAATAAAGAAAAACAAAAATGTGATTTCGATACTTAGAGGTTGCTTTGATCAAAAGAATGTTGTTATGTCAAAATTCAAATTCATGCAGGTAGTTGGTCTATCTGATAAGGTTGTCTTCATTTTCAGCTAAATTTAGTGTAGAAGAAATGATTTTTATCAGCACTGATTGCTGTAATTCCTTCGAAATAGATGGCCACAAAGGAATGAGGCAATCTTTGCGTTGTGTTACTCAGAACAATATGTTTGAGTTACATTCGAAAAGTATGCAATGGGTAACGGATAAAATGAAACTGTGTACATCTTGTCGGCACGTTTCGCCAATGTTCGCGCCAGCTGCAACAAGAGACGCTCCTTCGTTGGAAGGATCCGGCCAATACGCTTCACCACTAATTTCACCAGCTTCAGCGTCAAACGTCACGACTGGATCCTTCAAGCAGTAACTATCGTGGTTCCACTGTTGGTGAAATGTATTCAAAAATGTTGGGTACAATAAGGAAATGGTTTCCTGGTGAGGGTACTGATGCGAACGAAGAATTTGAATCTGTTTTGCTGAATTTAAAATCCTCTTTTTAAATAGCGGATACAGTACAACAAAAAATTGAAATCCTCAAATTGTTGCCAAAAAGTTGGTCATTTACCAAAATACAATCACATTTTGAGGAAGCCACTCGTCACATGATAACTGATTCAAAAACAAGTGTAATAGGACGCAGCGCTTATCAAAAGCAGGATGGCCTTCATATAGTGCAGATGTCAAGGGGTATTCTACTCTGCACACCCTATTCTGTGCCGTGAGATTTCACTGTGCTGTGCCAAACGTTGCGGCAAACGTGCCGAAGTAGGCCGAAGTGTACCAATCAAGGTATCAATGACCCATAAGTTTGGCAACCCTGAAGTTATAATGACTTTTGAAATTGTGTTTACATTTTGAATTTCTTTGGTGGTTTATGGCAAACATTAAGTTTCATTCTCATTTGAACGTGAGCGGAGCGGGCAGTGGAGGAGAAACTGGCAGCCATCCAAACTATACGATGTTCAAGCAAATTTGATCCGTCCAAAAGATACGTGTACAGAAACGAATGTGTAACCTGATTAATCGTGGTGAAATTTCGTCCAGTTACCTGTTAAAAGCTGCCCGACAAAATCAAAACCAGAACTCGAACGGGCGAAAGTTCAATCACACAAACAACATCCCCGAACCAGTTCATCTGATCGGCTCAGAAGCACGTTCAAGGCTACCAAGTGCACGGTATTATGTAGTTGTGGTGTCTTCTGCAATGTTCTACCATTGAAAACCAATGGCCAATGTACCACCGATGAAAACCATCAAATATCCCCTCACTTGAGATCAGTCATACTTCGGGAATGGTTTATGATATCTTCGCATTTGGTAGTTCTGCTGTAGGCAGGATCATGTGGTTGTTGTTGATCATCAGCATGCCCATGGGCTCTTGCCGAACAAGTTGCAAGTTGCTTAGTGTCGTCATGCGAGAACTGTTGACCCCACCGAAATCCCCTCTACCGCGAATCAAATTTAAAAATTGAGCAAAGCCTTACTGGTCTTACAAGAACTGATCGGTAGGCCATCCGTTGCATCGGGGCCTCGTGATACAAACTAGTTCAACACAAGGATGATTACAGAGATGCATCTGCAAAATGACCAGATCGTTGATGATGAAAAGCAAATTAAGTTTATAAGGATGAAAAAAGAAATTTTGGTTGCAGGGAAAGAAATAATGTGTCGAATGGATTTCGCAGAAACCCTTTTTTTTTTTGATCCAAGATTCGATCCAAAGTCATTATGTTTCAAGGCCACAAGTAACTATTCACCCTTTTATAATTTACTACAATGAAGGTTGCCTTTT